CAAAGAAATCATGGAAGTAATCCCATTCACAAAGGCATTATGAAATTAAAATATCAGGCTGGAGAGATGGATCAGTGGTTAAGGGAACTGCTGCTCTTGCAGAGGACCTGGGTTTGATTCCCAGCACCCACATGGCAGCAAACAACTGTCCATAACTCCACCTCCAGGGGATCTGACACTCTCTTCTGACCTCCGCATTGCAGGAAATGGGTGCACTCACATACATGCAAAACACTCATACACATAAAATAAAAATTATAAATAAAATATTTTTAAAAAATTAAGAGATCTTGCAATAAATGTAGCCAAGGAAGAAATACGTATACCATGAAAACTTTAAGGCACTGAACTGGAGAAGATACCAGAAAATGGAAAGACCTCTGATGCTGATGGATTAGTAGGGGCAATATTGTGAGAAATGGCCATACGCGAAAAACAATCTAAAGATTCAATGTAGTCTCCATCAAAATTCCAAAGCAATTCTTCACAGAAATTGAAAAAAAATCTTAAAACTCATATGGAAACACACAAAAGACCTAGGATGACTGACTAGTTCTTGGTTCAAGAACACGCATTGGTTCTAAGCAGCTAACAGTTCCTGAGTATCCCAAATACCTTCTATGTGCTTGGGGTTTTGAATATTTTGTGTACATTGGGAAAGGATTTCTTGTGACACAACTCTGCTCTTTCTGGGGCCTGGAACATTTTCCTCTATCAGAACAGTATTCTTATTCTCTCTCTCTCTGTGTCTCTCTCTCTCTCTGTCTCTGTCTCCCTCTGTCTCTGTCTCTCTCTCTCTCTCTCAATTCTCAAACCATTAGCAATTAAGGACCTGTTTACTGAAGGCTTCATACAGAACAGAGGAAAACTCTGCATCTCATGTCACACAGCGAGGTTTAAGATAAGTCTACCAGGAAACATTTAGCCTTCTCTCAAAATGTTCTCTTCTTGGCTGTCCTTTTGCTGGTCTTCTCTTTTGCTTTTTCTTCATCTAACCTTTTAAATGCCCCCTTTTGCTTGCACAAGCAATTCAGGTTATCTCAGACCTCGTACTTCTTCACCAAAGCAAAAACCCAATAGTCTCTGCTAATCTGTAAATTAAAATTGATCCTGACCTACATAGAATGTCCATTCTTGTTGGCCTTTTTGTCCAGCAGAATACCAGAGAGCACTGGCTATGTGTCAGACTTGCTGATTACAAGTGGCAGGCCTCACGTTTACCCTGTACCCCTTGCCTTGGACACTGCACTCTGGGGGCATCTCTGTCACAGGGTGGGCAATGTCAGAGTGTCACATGCAGGGGCTGCAGCATGGCTTCAGAGGTCAGACAGCTGAGTCAGTACTGGTCACCCTGGAAGCCATAGCTCTCTATTCCAGGGTCTAATGATGTGTCAGATCTTGCACATGTAATTTCTTCCCTGATGTTCGGTTATAACTTGTGGACAGTACCTATGCATGTGAGATTAGTTTGTGAGATCAGTTATACGGATAAAAATAGACTATGTGAAACAACAAAACTTCCAATATTCATGTAAAACCCCTTGTAGTGCTGTAGTTCAAAATCTGAGCCCTAATATTGCAAAACGGTGTTTCCCCTTCCTTTCCTTTTCCCCCTGATACCACATCTCTGCCTCCTTCCTCTGTATGCAATCTCCCCCTGAAGCTTTGACCATGCAGGAATCATTAAGGCATGTGACACATGGTTATTGTCCAACGTGAAGCCCTCGGTGCACTGCATAGCTGCTGTTCTAGAGCAGTGGCTGCAGTCATGGGTCACACACATGAAATGCATGTCTAAGCCACAGCTCAGAGCATAGAATAACCAGCAGAAGGATCTAAATCCGCGTCCTCTCTGTTCTAGTGACAATTGCCAAGTCTGGAAGTGAAAGAAACCTCTGGGGAAAACAAAACACACAAAACCCATTTCATGTGGCTTCAATGGGTATCTGAAATAGAAGCAGACCTTGGCGCAGTATTTATTGCATCTAAACTACTCTTTCAAGTGCTTTGCTTATCATTAAGCATTCATTTCCCTAGAAACTGGAGCTCTCACTTCTTGTAGCTTTAGCAAGTGAGGACAGTTTTGGCTGGGCTGGCCTGACTTCCCAGTAGGACGTGGCACACTCCGTGGCCTTTCCTCCGCTATCCATTGCATAGAAAGATCTGTTCATTTGTGAGTGTGAGGATTTTTCTGGGAAACAGGAGATAAATCTCGCTCCAATGTAGTAACCCAGGTTCTGTGTGTAAATATGATTCTAGTAATAAATGAGCTAATTGTCAAGAAGTTGTTACTGGGGAAGCTCGCCCCTCCTTCATTCCACATACAAGGCACATTAGCATCTTTAGAGGTGTGCTTTCTGCTGTTTCTTTCTCTGTGCTCTGACCAAAAATAAGAAGCACCACCATGTCTGTATGTTAATTACAATCAGAAAGACCATGTGATGGCTGAGAAATGTGGTTTTGTCTGCAGTGGCCACTTTTCACTGGAAAGAATGAAAACCACATCACACCCGACAGGCGCAGGAACAGAGCTGACTTTGCTGTCACCTAGCAAGCTGGCGGCTGCATTAAGTATAGTAATCTAGTAACTGAAGGAAAGGCCCACCCTACTTGCCTTTTTAAATTTTGGGATTGGAAACTGCTATCATCATCACCAATTCTTATTTTACAAGAAAAATACCACAGAGATGTTTGTGCCTGTGTGTTGTTAGTTGATATCCTGAGTTATGAGCTGACAAAGATAACAAGGACAGGCTCAGTGTTTGTTCTTCGATGAGAAGTGTTGTGCCCTCAACTGCTGTGGATTCTCAATTTCTATGCAACTCGAGGGGAAGAGATACTGAACACACAAGTAATCAGAGAGTCATTCATAAGCAGACAGAGGCTTGTCTCCAAGGAATGGTCCCTACAACCCTTTCAATAAGGAAAAGCCTCTCTCTTTTCTCTCGAGGGATTTAGGATCTGAACAGAACAAAGAATTCTTGATGAAAGGCAGCTAGTCTTTTTATTTTTATTTTTTTAAAAGAATAAAGCTAGGAGAGATTCCTTGTAGCAAAACAATGCAAGTAAAAGAAAGACAACAGTTGAAAAAGAAGACCCTGCAACAAATTGTGTGTCTAAGAAGCATGGGTCTTTGTGAACCACCTGTGTGGGAGACAGGGCTGTGCTGAGTTCTGAGCCATGTCTATTGGCCTAAGGGACCAAAAGTTACTCTGGCATACCAGAGAGGCCTCATCACAAGTACTAGAGACTGGATTCTCCCACAGGAACCCAGTAACACCAACACCAGCCTTTGAGAATAAGTGAGACTCTGTGATTCATCAGGTAGGAAACATAAACGCCAGATGGTACAGATCAAAACAGCATTCAGAAACCTTATGACTGGAGTAGGAAGTAGCAAAAGAAACTGGCATTTGAAACTCAACCCTTCAGTCACTAGCAGGGTGATGTAGGGTGGGTGACTCCTTTGAGTTTAGCTTTGCTTCATGGCTGTTGTGATGATTAGATGAACTGGTTTATGAGAAGGATAATGACACATAATAAGTCCATAATCCATGTTCACAAATATCATTTGTTTGCCTTTCCTTGAGGATGAGTTATACTTAGTGATTCCCTTCCAATCATTGCAGTGGGAGAGGGTTAAGAACATTAGTGTAGATTCCTGAAAAATACTCGTTTACCTGGTTTTGAGGTCAATATGCACAGTGAGTGGTAAGTCTTACTGATGGGATGGATCATCATAGTGCTGTTGTAAGCCTAGAATTTCACCTGAGCTCTTCCTCTTCCAAACCTGTAACTCCAGTGTAACCACACATAAAACCTCAGTCACATCTCAATAAGAGGGATACTGCACAAAAGACCTGAACTATGTGTGTTTTAACTCTCAAGACCATTGCAGGTAAGCAAAGTCTGAGAGGAAACAGTCACAGCCCAGAGGAGCCCAGGGAGACAGAAAGACTGAGTGTGACTGCATAACTTGAGCGGGATGCTGTGACACAAAAAGCACATCGAGGAAGGACCAATGAAATCCAAAATAAAGCGCGCAGTTTAGGTAATTGGAACATGCCTATTCTGGTTCATTAACTATGGTGAAGAAGGTTCTACACTAAAGTGGCAAAGAGTATAAGGTGAATAGGCACTTTTGGTACTCTGCACACTAGTTACTTAAACAAATAATCAAACTGTGAAGGAAGGAAACTTATGAAGAAGTGTCATATAGCTCTTTATACATTATGGAGGGCTGTGAACTGAAGTTCTTAGAAACATCCATACCTACATTCAAACTGCAAGGCTGATGAACTGATGAGAACTTGGTGATTGTGAAGAATGTTGTAGAACCAGAGTCAAAATTAACTTGAGCCAGCTTCAGTCTCTTTGGTAGCTATTTGGTTTTCACCTCTGTTGTGATAGATATATCAGCTTTTTAACTATTAAGGGAAACCTTTGAACTGTATAGCCTAACAGACCTCAATCTTCCATCCAAAAGCTAAGACCGTCAACAGGTGATGTGTAAAAGCCACAGCAGGACTTTCTCTGCCTTGCTGCAACCCACTTACCTGAGAGTCTCACCAATGTGTTGGAAAACACCATGATTTAGATCTTTATTTTGTTCTGTGACATTTATTTATTTATTTATTTATTTATTTATTTACCTTTATTGAAGGGGAAAGTGTGTATGCATTCTCACATGGGTGTATGGGTATATGGCACATGTGTGGCACTGAGGACAACTTGTTGGAGTCAGCTCTCTCCTTCCACCATGTAGGTCCTGGGGTGGAAACTCAGATCATCAGGCTTGGCAACAAGTTCCTTTGCCTGATGAGTCATCTCACCAACCCCAGGACTGGGATTTTTTTTTTAAACAGATGAAGTAGAAGGTTAGAAATTCAGGGCTCAAAAGTTAGGGTAACCAGTAGCCTAGGAGAATATCCATATTTATTTCTTTATACACAAGAAATTCAGAAAAGCCTATGATTTTAGGTGTCTTAGGGCCTTTATTGAAGGGGAAAGTGCAAACACAGTCCCCTACTACCATAAATTATGCAGCTGAGTGTCCCACAGTTGGGGAAATTGCAGGGGTCAGCACACATGGAGTGCAGTGGATAAACCTCACCCTGGGAAAACCACCTTCTTGATCATGGTCTTGCCCCTGCCAGTTTGGTGACTATTATACATTGGATCATTTTATTCAGAACACCCCAAATCCATGTTCCCAGGCCATGGTTGCTCATATTTGGTTCAGAATAAATGATCTATTTCTCTCTTTGAGGTCAGAGCTGTGTTTTGCATTGGCGGAGCAGATGTTAGATTTAAGAAGAAAAATTTACAGAAAGAGAGAGAGAGAGAGAGAGAGAGAGAGAGAGAGAGAGAGAGAGAGAGAGTCTTATAGGGTACATCTTGAGGTCAGAGAAAAACTTGTAAGAGTAGATTTTCTCATTCTACCATGTGGGTTCTGGAGATGGACTCAAGTTGTCAGGGTTGGAGGCAAGGACTTTTAGCCAGAGAACCATCTTAATCCTCAGATATCAGATGACATGGTAAATGCATATGGGGTACCTGGTAAAGGGGAGACCCCTGGAGAGTGTAATGAAGCTTTTCTTTTCATGTTGCCTTGAAAAGAGGATGTCTCCACAGATCGTGTCTTTCTATTGAACACTTCTGGTGGGGAAGCAGAAAGCAGATAAGCCCATGTTTCAACATTTAAGCTAAAGCTGGTTTTTTATTTTTTTCTGAGAAGGTAACTTTTTAAAAGAAACCTAAGTTATTGAGCACTTATTCAACACTAATGCCAGTCTAAGCACTTTGCAAATTAATCTCATTTAATCCTGAGACATTACTATTAATTTCTACATTTCATTACTCAAATGAGTCTCGTAAAGTTACACACTCATAATGGCTAACTTGAAGTCAAGCTGTTCTGTACCCAGGACTCCAAGAAGAATGAAATTTAGCAAATCTCTTATAAACATAACAAGTGGGTCATTAAATGATGGGCCTCTGATTAGCTGTCCCCTTATTGCAAGTGTCCACTTCTCAGCCCAAGACTTTCCAGATAAATCAAATCATGATGTTGCTGCTTGTAATGTGAAAACATATGCTCACTAGCTGAGGATTGGTTTCATCAGTAAATTTATACCAAATATGTCTGACCTGTAGCCTATCTTCAAGTGAGTCATCAGCAGTCTAATTTCTGTCTCCTGCTTTTTAAGCCTGAGCTTTGGTTCAGGATGGAGACAGTAGCCACGAAGGGTTACAAGAGTCTGTGATTCACATCATCTTCTCTTTCAGGAGAGTTGAATTAAATGAATTAATTTCATGTTCCATAAATAAGAGGTTTACCTAAGGCTTGCTTCCAAATAAAACATCAAATACCAATACTCAGGTTTATTGATCATTTCCTGAGCGATTGGACTGGATGGGTGCTTTGTAAAGCATACTTATTTTATACTAAAAAATAAGGCACTTCATTTTGGAGTTGAAGAGCATGTTCAGAGAATTAAGCAACTTGCGTGGAGTCACACAGGTAGTCAACAAAGGAGTAAGTTGAGCATAAATTCACCCCATCCAAGGTTAAGAACTTTCCACCTGCTCTCAGATGCAGCAGCACTTCTGACCTGTCCCTGGGAAGCCACAGTCCTATGGGTGTACCGTCACTAGCCTCACATACCACACCTCTCTTCCCCTCGTTCATGGTCCTTTCTTGGAGAGCACTGTCTCAAGTCTGAGTCAATTTTCTCATTTGACAGCCATCACTGTGTTCAGTGGAGACCAAAAGGCTACTGCTGTGGTTGGTACCCTGTGCGTCTGACCTGGAGCCCTGGGGGCCAAATTCTCCACCTCTTACCCCTTGATAGCTACATAACCTGTCACAAACCACTGAACTCCGGAGAGCCTCCATTCTTCTTTTCCAAAAGAACATGATGTTGGACATCCTGCTTACCTAAGATTTATTAAATATACACTGGTAGATAATTTATGCAGAAATTTTCCATTCCTAATAGAGATTTAAGTTAAAGTTGTACTGAGGGGACAGGATGCTTTGTGGTAATAGAGGATCAACTGTGTATATTCCTATACCACCACCAGGAGAGGCACATTATGTTATCCATATCATTTAAAACTCAGCAACCTTATGATGCAAAATATTCCTGTCCTCATTTCACTGAAAAAGTAATTGTGGCAAAAGTCTTAAAATGTAACAACATTGGAATAAAAAAGCAGATATCCCTTCAATATATACAAAATACATTCAAGTATTGTAAGAATTGTGAAGAATGAGAGCAGCTAAAAGGTCAAATGAAGTGGGTGACCAGGGCATTCAGGAGCATGGCCAGGGCATTCAGGGGTGTGACCAGGACATTCAGGGCTCAGCTCCCTGCTGCTGTTCTCTGATCCCTTTTCTAGGTTCAGAACCATTTCATGCCTGCCTTTAAACTACCTTTTCCTGTTAACTTCTCTTCCTAATAAGGCCTCTCTTCCCCCTTCCAAAGAGCCTTTCTCCTTCTCCATTGTGAAAAAAACCTCCAAGCCTTGCTGAACATCTGAACATATTGAAAAACTGCACCCTTTTGATCTTTAGTACAAATCGATAGTCCATCTTGGGAACAGATTTCCTCCTCCTCCTCAGGCTTCTGTGTCTGTAACAGGCTTCCAAAGCTTGAATGTAGAAAGGCTGGAAGGAGAATCACCTGCCCCTTTCGTAAAGCCCAGTAAGTCAGCCAAGGAAGCCAGAATGCTACAAATACCCTTCTGCAGAAGTATTGTTCCACAGCAACACAGGCACAGCAAGAGCCAGTAGAACTCATTAGTGGTATTGCTGTCCTCAGCCCACGTGCATGCCTGATTTCCTGAGAATACAGTGCACATGGCATTCTGTACTTGGTGCACAGAATCTAAAGAGAAGACTTGAAGCCCGAAGACCCCATTACCTCAGCTCTTGGTGTAAAAGCATGGACAGATCATCTAACTTCTCTGAGTCTGGGTGCTGTCAGATATATAACGGAGCTAATATTCTTTCTTCAATCCTATATAATCCAGCAGTATATAAGCCTGAAATCTAGAGGCCATCTATGTTTCCTGTGTCTTATTTACCCCAATAGCTAACATGTCTCCCAATTCTGTTAATTTCCTGCCTTATGTATCTCTCAAATTTCCTGTCAGCTTAGACTTCATAATTTTCTCACCAGGCTAATGCTTTGTTCTCATCAAACTCTCTTCCTCGTCTACTGCCAAAATCAGCTTTTTTTCTTCTCATTGCAGACAGTTAACTTGCTGAAGTATACACCTTATGTTCTTACCTCTGATTAAAATCATTGTCTGACTCTCAATCATCTATAAAGTGTACATTTACCAGACCAGGTACAAGATCACCATGACCGTGCTCTTACCTAGCTTTAACAGCTGGGAATTTTTCAGATCATGTGACAGAAGCGCCTCTCAAATCAGCTTAATAAAGAATAGCTGGTGGCTTGGGAAACTGACGGCCTCCATCAGCACAGGTGTCACTTGAACCAAAGACTCAGTCTCATTAGAAAGCTGTCTCCATCCTTGGCTTTGCTCTCTTCCACAGTGACTTTATTCTTGATTAGACTTTTCTTATCCAATAACAAATCTTCCCTAGCAGCTTCAGGCTCACCTAGCAACTACTTAGCAGACACCCTTCCCCATACTCACACCAGGGAGCATCTCCGTCTGCTAGTCTGCTGTGAGTCATATGCTCAACTTCTACCAACCCAGAGGAACACAGAAACTGGGCAGGCTCATTCAGGAGCATACCCAATGGCTGCCCCCACTGGAGTTTAATGTCATAAGAAGAGGATCGTTATATAGAATATTATCATACTTCCATAACCAAAATAAGAGAAAAAACAGTGCTAGGGTGTGAAAAACAACATCTATTCTATTATCTTTACTTAGAGGAACTTTGGGTTCCAAAATTTAATGTATCAAAACAGCCATTTTATTTTCGTTCAGGATGTGATGGTGGTCAGGAAAGAGTTCAGCTGAGTAGGTCTTTGTGAGATCTTGGAGGACATTACAGGGCTACATTAGCACAGCATTTGATGGTCTAATGAGGCCAAATTGCTAGACTGACCATAGCTGCTGCTGGATGGGGGATCAACTGAAGGTCTACCAATGGTTTCCTCAGCATGAGGCCCTCAGAGTACATGGACTTCAAGGGAGGCCAATGACTCCCAGCTCTGGCATTCCAACAAAACCGGGGAGAGCTACATCCCCTTTCTGACCTAACCTCCTAAGTCCTACTCAGTGTCACTTTTCTGAATTCTGTTCACCACAGGCCTCATAGAGTCATGTGGAGGAGATAGAGACTATACTTTTAGACAAAAGGAGTGTCAAATGATTTGTAGCCATTATCATTTCCCACTATTTTATGAAAATGTTCTCATCAATTTACCAAGCTCTACTGATGTGATCAGCACCACCACCCCCCCCTGCCACTGTGGAGCTGCTCCTTCTTCTTTCCTGAGGACAGGTTGGTATTTCCTTTGGACAGCCACACCCTGAGTTCATACCTTTTTTCAGAGTGATGTTTAATGATGTATTATAAAACCCGTGACCCCTGTCTCCAGCTAGAGAGGCCAAGTTTTATTTGTCGCTGTAATTCACCTATTAGCTGTCTTTTGTAGGCCCTCAGTGCATGTTTGCTGAATGAAAGAATTAGATTTTATAGCCAGAATTTTTCAAATGTTAAAGTGCTGTTCAAACAAAGGCTGTCATTATTTAGAAGATAATTGAGCCTTTTACTGAGAAAAACATAATAGCTTCTGGTGATAGCTTTCCACCCAACAAATTCTAAGCGAATGATCCATTTTACTGTTAAAAACATTAAGATTTTTCTTTCTTTGTACAGCTTAAATAACAGCGACACCTAGTTGTCTGTTCTTCCTACTTTGTGTGGTGTTTGGATTTCTGTCCTATCCTGGGTCCCATCCTAGGCCTTCTCCATGAGTCTCTTTAATTATGCCAGTTCTTCTCTGAATCTTTTATCCTTTTGTACCTAACGTTTTATCATCTAATTTTCCTAGACCATCAGATGATCTTTAATCAATCCTACTTATTCAGTATATATTTACTGACTATCTAAAGGTCTACTGTGCACTACATTGTGATGGGCCCTGGGATGTACGAAAATCAAGTCATAAT